CGACACACACCTATTCTAAAGGTACGAGTCTTTGACATGTGATGCGAATGACGAAATTATTTAGTTTCATATATATGGATACAGGGTCTACTCCAGGGGTCTACATTTTTAACCCTGAATCATGAGCAAAATGAAGTCATATTTGCAGATTTAAATCTTTCAAAGATATCTTCTATAGTACAATTACTAAATATGATCATGTGTTGAGATATTGTGGCTCGTTTTTTTTTTTTGTTCCAATATAAAATTGTATTTCTTTAAAAAAACTATTTAGAAAAAAATAAAATATATATAGGAAGAATATGAGAATCCTATTAAGAATAGACAAGATTCATATTAGGAGTAGTATATCTCATGTATCACTTATAAATATATAGGAGAGAACCAATTCAATATTACTAGAGAATGTGAGAAAACATAGGGTATGTGATGTAAAGGTAGGTTAAACACCTGGGGTGAGTGTAAAAGCTGGCTAGTTTCCACTCTATTTCCCCTCAGGTGGGTTTATAGTATGAGTACTCAGCTTGTATAACCATGTTGATGTTATTATAGTAGAATTCTCTCTTATTCGTGGATGTAGGCAATGTGGGCAAGTTATATGAACCATGTGTGATTTATATTCTTACATTATCCATCTCCATGTATGATTTCTGTTGCTTAATCTCATAACATCATTTAATGCAGATTTGTTTTATTGTTTATGAATTTGTTGGCCATTTTTATTTGTATTTTTTCATTTTATTTAAATTTTAAAGCCATCGTCGACTGAGGTTCGGAATTTCTTATGTTTTCAGCCCAAGTCGTATGCTGACAACTTCAAGTGGAAGGGCCCTCCGAAAAGCGAGAATGATTAAACTGTAATTTTGAGAATATTATAAGCTTATGCTTTGTAATATTGGTGTTTAATACATAGTTGTGTACTTCATGCATCTCACTTTCCCATTATTAATGTTAATTTCCACGAAGATGATATTTGTTTTTTCAAATTAGCTTATAATCTCCAGTCTACAGAATGAGTTCTTAAAATCGACATCCAAAACACCAGGGAGATTGAATATAGATTGAGTCTTAGTTTTATGTAAAAAAAGTCGACATTACTAGATATAAGAAGACAACAAAAATTATACTTATGTCGTCTCAGGTATACACATAGTAGCTATTAACGAAGGCGCCGTCTATAATTAAACTACGTCTGTATACAAAATAAAATATTCAAGCATTGCAACTTGACTGCGAAGTGTCTCTGTTATAGGTGTGGAACCTCCAGGTAAAGAGATAGTCCTTGGATTCACAAGACAATCTAATTACATCACAAAAAGCATTGATTGAGTTCTTCTTGCCATGACTGCCCCATTCTATCCTTACCCAGCATGAAAACCCATTTGACGAAACCGGCACCCCTGATTCAGCAAAATGAAGCATCACCTCACCACAAATTCTTTTGCATGAGCTACCTCCAAATTTTCCATCACAATTCACCATCGAATCCAGCCACGAACATTCCGGTTGACCCACCATTTCTTTGTAAGCAGAATTAGCCATCCTCACTTTGTTATTCGAATCCGATATGACTGCTGGTAGGACCTCCGACTCCATCTCTTCCTCAACTTCCTCGGGTTTCTTAGGAACTTGTACTGCAGGTGTTAAGCTCGGGTCTTCACTAATGTACCCAACGCTGATGCTTGATCCAACTGGGCGAACTGGTTGTGGCGCGATAATATTGGTGATAGAAGGTCCTTGCAGTTGCAACAATAGATCCTTCTCTTCTGGGATTTCAGCAACGGCATTCAAGTCTATAACCTTCACTGCTCCGAGTGGTTCCAAACGGTTGTTGGGCTCTGCTTTTTGGTTGGATACAATAGTAACCGATGGAGTGCAAGGAAGAAGAGGAAGTGTTACCAAACTTGAAGGTGCTTCTGTGGGATTTTCCAAGCTGCCACTATCAGCAGCCAGGTTTGAAAGAGGAACCCCATGAGCAAAACCATGCAAAGATAGATTTTTTGCAGGGGATGAGACATGACTGGGAGAAGAAAGCCCAAATAAATGGGTCCTTGATCTTTTGATGGTGGGTGGTGATATGGCCGCTCTACCTCTCTTTCTGGTTCTAGTGGGCCTGGCCTGCAACTGGGGCCATAAGTGCCTGAGGTAAGGAGATTGCCTGATCTTCGGGCTCTCACTCATGGGGCTTACAGGAGCTTCTGGTTTCGGAGCTATAGGCCTGTACCTAGACATAATCTCCGCCGTTTTGGCAGTGTTGGTGGAGTAAGGGCTCAAGGTCTTAATCATGGTTACTGGTTTTAAATTTCCGTTTGGGCTGGCTTTCAAAAAATGGGACTATGAGAGGAACATAAAGGAGAAAGGTGTAGGTGAGGTGAGTAATTGAAAGAAGAATGCAGAATATGGTGAAGGTGATGTAATAGAAGGCAGGGGGTTGAAGCCTAACAGGAAAAGAAGGGAGTAGTGGTATTAGAATTAGTGAGGTGAGAAGTGAGGAAGGCAATGTGTTAAGTGGTTTATATTTGTAAAGATAATCCAATAAGAGAAAGGCAACATGAGTAAAAGAGGCACAACGAAATGACACTTGGAGTTGTATTGTGGGTACGTGTTTAAGAGAATTAGAAAGAAGGACGTGTGGGACTTAAGTAAAAGAGTGGGTCCATGCATGCTAACACATATCAATATAATGGATAGAAGAAGAAGATAGATAAAAACTATTCAGTGAATGTAAAGAGAGACCGTTGCTTTGCTTCTCACACCAATCAAAAACCCTCTGTGTTATAACGCGTGTGTATTAGGTTGCCATGCGTGGATACACCTATCAGGATTGGTTTGGTCGTTCCTTGGTTGGCCTTCCATTTTTTACAAGACAAAACCACCACCCTTTTTTGTGTCGGTTATTTTTTGTTCATGTCCACGTGTCAATACCTCATCTTTCATTGCATGCAAAGGGTGAGTTATAATGTGATTGGAGGATCGGTCTTGGGAGGTTAAACTTAGACAGTACTATATGGATACACGTGGCCCTTGCTTTTTAAGCTTTGCTGAATCGATTGTACTCTCTGCACGCATTGTTATAAGTGGCCCTTTTCCCTATTACCCATTCGTCGGTGCATCCGCTGTTTCCCACGTCACCAAATTTTGCTTAGTCAGCCAAATTGTAGCTGCTGTTTTTTTTTTTTTTATGTTAAATAAAAATCCATTTGCCATCCTGATATTTTTATTATGAAATATTATAATATAATAAAATGCATATATCGATACAATTTTAAATTTTAGGGTCGTTTGGTCCGGTTAGGTTCTTATTATTATTATTTTTTTTCATAAATTCTTGTTATTTATTTTCATTGTTACAATTTACTAATGTTTTAAAACCCGATCCAATATGATCGATTGAACCAGTTCAATTGGGACCTAAGGTATTCACCAAACCGGGCTATTAATTTTACTGTTTATGACAAACCTTAAAAATTAGGACGAAGATTGACGAACAATTGATGACTAGGATGTGGGGTTTTTGAAGAGGAATGGATAATGAGTCAAAAGATGACGACATAGGTGATTTTCGATGAGTGAAATGATAGGAAATCGCAAAAATAAATTGCCATTAACAACTCGTTGTTGCTGGTGATTGGCGAAAACGAGGGTAGGGTGAATGGGTTTTGGTTAGGAGGGTGAGGGGAGGATTTTTGTGGTGATGGTGTGTGTTGTCAATGTTAGAAACATGCCCTATTTGGCCCAGGTGGTCGACACTGGTGGTGTAACTTGGGGTGTTTTTGTAGGATATCAAACTTATAGGGTCTTATGGAATTTTTAAGAGTATTTTTTTGTTAGATTTCAAACTTTTTACATGATGATGTCATCAGTTTGACCTACCAGTTGACCTAGGACTCGGCCAATTTGTTGGTTTCACCCGGGCAAGTTTTAAAACTTTGCAATTTACCCTCAATTGGAGATGAGGGTATGGAAAAAGGTAGTGTACTTTCCTGGGCCAAACATCCCAAGCTTTTGAGCACTTCTGGGCCGAACTCCTATAGACAATGCTAAGCAAGAGAATCACTGGTTGGAGAGTTTTTCTTTCTGGTAACAGAAATAACATCATAAGTACTTTTCAGATATAAAATTGTATGATCTAAAACACCAAATTCTTAGATAATATACACTAAATAATTTGAAGGGTTTATATCTTAGCTAGGTACTTAATTAACTCATTTTCACTATTATTTTCCATGGAAGACACAGTTCTGCCATTTCCTTTCAAAATTCCACCCAAATATAACGGAACCTTAGTTTACACTCCTCTTCCAAGGCTTGAAGCAAATTTTAGCATGAATTCGTCGCTACTGCTCCAATCAAGCCATTAATAATAAAGAAATTGGCGATTAAAGTTAGAGAGTTTCTTCAAAACTCGACTTATTTTAGGAAAAGAGACTTTTTGTTTAAAAAAAAATTAATGTCGATAATTTCAAGGGATTGGTTTAGCATTCAAAAAAATTTGTTTATTTATTCTATGAATTTTTGAGTTCAAACCTTGAGATTATCTATCACAATAATATTATGACTTACATGATCCTTTTAATTTATAGGATATTTAATAGATTTTAGGGTTTAATTGAGATACGTATAATTCAATGAATCTCGAGGTTTAGTTTAAATATACATAAGCTAATATAACATCTTGTTAAAAAAAAAAGATAAATAAATATTAATGTCGTTTAAGATGTTAAGGCAATCTTTCAAGTGGCTACACGTATACGAGTTTAAGTGGTTGGACGTGCAACACACAAGTGGAGTTTGTCCTCAAACTTGCACTGCTATTTGTCAAACCCAAAATGGCTCAACTGATTCAGCATTTTAAGTTTTAACCTCGTTTTATCAACCAAACAATATTATCTTCTTCTTTTTCATCTCCATCCCATCCTCCTCTATTTCAATCCCACCCATCATCACTTTCCTTTTCTCAAATTTCCACCCATTTTTTATCCCTTTTTTTATTTTCTGGGAATAAGAATCATTTTTTAGAAAATTTTGACTCTCATCGAAATTGTGGACCCTTAATCCTGATTTCTGAAGATATATACTCGCGTATGAATCAAAATCTACTCCTGGGTTTCCTTCTAAATTGGTGGTTTTGATTTCAGGTGCGTCTCTTCTCATTTCAATGTACATATGTCGCCCTTTGTTCTCTAAATTACTCTTGTTTGTTTGTTTGTTCATTCTTATTGAATTTATTGACATTGGTTTGGTGGTGAATGAAGTTTCAATATTGATTAACGATGGTCTCATAAATTTCAATTCTCTCTTAAACTCCATCTCTTGGCATTATTGGCGTATCAATATGACACCAGTTCTTTAAAAGCATTCACTTTCTTTTCGTTTAATCGTTAACCATGTAGAATTTCCTTGAAAGTTTTGTATTTGATAAACGAACATACATATTAAAATTCTCTAGCATGGAAATTAAAATTCTCTAGCATGGAAATTAAAATTCTTTAGCAACCATACAATCATCTTAGTTAGGTTGGATACCTAAGGCCATGAAATTCTCAGTTGGGACTTAAAATCCCACACCTTAACTGGGCGGCATGAGTTGATGCCAATTCACAAAATTTGGTCGTTTGACAATTATAGGTGTAGATTTAAAATAAAAATGCCGAATACTGGGTGAGGCCATGACCTTGAAGTTCTTAATTATATCAGTAATCAAAGGAAAAGAATAGGAAACAGGTGTAAAATTTGGAAAGAATGGCATCTGGTGGGACATTTTTCAAGTTTTTTGCTGGGAAAAGGCCAAAACGATTATTTGGCTAAGAATAACAAGGGCCGTACTACAGTTCTGGTAACATTAACGGCATGATTTTTGATAATGCACAATATAATATTTTATGAAATTCAAATATTAACCGATAAGACAGTAAATGTTAACAGGATTTTGTTTGTTGATAATGATGAAGTTATAAGTATCATAACAATCCCTTGATAACAATGTTGCTAAAATATTGAGAGACATGAGATTTGTAACGTCGAAACATTAACTTATAACATGTTAAGGTACTAAATATTATGTTACAGTTTGTGTTCTTACAAAGTTTTGTCATTTCACGTTAAAAGGTACACATGCATTTTTGTTATGACTTAAAAGTTATTATATGTGTCTTATCTAACAAAGAAAATTTCCCTGTGTTTCAGTCTGAATGTAATTTGCACACATAAAAGTTTTGTAGTTTCATAAACTATTCCCTACCATGATATCCTTGCAAGATCTGTATGGTTTACAATTTTGCAAGTGTAAGTATCGTTGATCAATTTGTTTATGTACAAGAAACATATGCAATCATCTGTATATCAAGTGAACTCCAATCTTGTCTATGAGGAAATTTTTTCTTCTATTGTCCTTTGTACAATCCTATTTGTCTATTATTATTTGATAATCTTCCTGCTTTATTTTTTTTTTCAGTTTTGACAGATGTTCAATAATCATCGCACGGTAGATTCTTCAGAAAAATTTGATGACTTCTTGGACTGTGAGGATGCAAACGAAGTTTGTTTAAAGAGAAGGAAGGCAAAAGATTGGAAGAAAGTGAAATGCCAGCTTGTTGAATACAATTACTTGCCAGGGTATTTGAGGGACAACGAGTACATTCTGGGTTACTACCGAGCAGAATGGCCTTTGAAGCAGATCTTATTCAGCTTATTCTCCATTCATAATGAGACTCTTAATGTGTGGACGTAATAATTTTGCCTCTATTAGTTTCAATTTTTTGATGGAAATATTTTTTTCTCCTTTATTCATTTTGATTATAATTTTTGGTGAAGACATGGTTTATGAGTAAATTTGTTCTCTTTCATGCATACTGGGAATGTTGATGCATGGATGATATTTCATACACTAAGGGCATATAGTCAGTTTGTAATGCCCCCCAAGTGTTTGGCACTCCATAGAATTCTTTGATTCTAGATGAGATGGACAAGTAAAATTAATCAGCTCAATTTTGTTACTCAATACTGTCTCTTCTAGTGTTTAATTTTCAGTTGCTCATCAAGGAGTGATATATTTCATGTATGAAAAAGTGAAGTAGTTTCCTTTCTTGCATTTCTTTCTCTTGGCATCAAAAAGGTCTATTAATGATCACTTTGCCTCTCTATGTGATGTACATCTGTCTTGTCTGCATTTTTGTGAGACATGTTTTGCTTCATCTTTTATTGTTGACATTTTCACGGAAAGAACAATCAATGGAGAATAATTCTGTGTGAGTTTTTGCTCTTAAACTATTCACTTTTGTTGCAGGCATTTGATAGGGTTCTTCCTTTTTCTCTGTCTGACCATATACACAGCAATGAGCGTCCCAGGGGTTGTGGATTTAAATGCCCTTCAACAATTGCCTGACATGCTCCGAGGAGCTGATTTGCCCAAGATTCAAGAACTCTTGAGTTGTCTTCCTTCCATACCCAACATACCTGACCATCATAGATTAAAAGATGTCTTCAAGATGTCTTTGCCTTCAATTGATTTTCTCAAATCACCCTCAGGTTGGTATTACTGAAACTTCTCACCAACCTAAGCATTTCCTTGCATATATCAAATAGGTGACTGTTATCAGTATAGTTCTACCACATCATTAACTGGGCGGTAAGTTAATTAAAGTTGTTCTGCTTGTTTGTTGAAACTTTAGATGATTTCAAAATTTCCCCCTTTGGTTCACCAGAGAATTAATTCCCCAACTGAAATAAGTAATCCGGATGGATGATGTTATCTCTGAGGAAAACTACTCAAATTTCGAACCTTTTTTTACATTAGAACAGTAGAACCACATTCTACAGACATTTTCTATGTGCATAGAATGTGATTTTGCATTGAGAATACTTCTCTTGTTTGACGTTTTACAATTGTTTCAAAACACCATGTCTAAAGCCTTTGCTTGACAATTGATTGATTGCAGCATGTGTAAAAGATGACGTTATGAAAATGGTAGCGCCGGGAATGGTTCATGAAATCACAAGATGGCCCTTTTACACCTTCTTGGGTGGAGCCATGTTCTGTTTGCTAGCCAGCAGTGTGTGCCATCTCTTTTTTTGCCATTCAGAGCGCCTTTCCTCAATAATGCTCAGACTTGACTATGCTGGAATTGCTGCTCTTATCTCAACCTCCTTCTACCCCTCCATCTACTACTCTTTCTTGTGCAATCCTTTCTTCTGTAACCTTTATCTGGGGTTCATTACAGTGTCCGGTATGGCCACCATTATCATCTCTCTCCTTCCAGTTTTCCAGAAGCCCAAATTTCGGAACTCCCGTGCTTCCCTCTTCTTCGGTATGGGCTTTTCAGGGATTGCACCAGTACTTCATAAGCTAATATTGTTCCAGGGACAAGCAGAAGCCCTCCAAACCACTGGTTATGAGATATTGATGGGAATGTTCTATGGGCTTGGGGCCTTGATTTATGCGACAAGGATTCCAGAGAGATGGAAGCCAGGCAAATTTGACATTGCTGGGCATAGTCACCAACTCTTTCACGTGTTGGTCGTGGCAGGGGCTTATACACATTACCGTGCCGGGCTAGTCTACCTCAGGTGGCGGGACTTGGAAGGTTGTAATCAGTAAAGGGACATATGTGGATACTTAATATTATCATGTTCATAATATGTTGAGGATAGACTTATACTCGATGATTAACCGTTTTGCATGAAAATAAAATGTAAAGTCGTATGTTATAATTGAACCAAGAATCTCCATATTAGCTTTTTTATTGCTGTAAGGTTGAATGTGAGGTCCCGAGGAATTTAATGCAATGAGAAAAGGAGTTGTGCAGAGTGGAATTAGATCATTCCAGTTGTTCTGTAACTAATTTTCTTAACTGTATCATGGGTAAAATTTCGCAAGGATCAATGGGGACTGGGGAGAACAGGGTTGCCAAGTTTTAAGGAGTTGCCCAGATAGATGGTCTGCAATAAATTTCTGAAAGGCAACATTACATGGAACCTAATCATTTTGTAACGGGTTTTTGCTAGTGTATCCTTAAAGAGAAACTAGACGTCCACGCGGACCAGGCCTGAGAGGCTAAGGATTTATGAGCTAAATCGACAATATAATAAAGAGTAAACAACTTTATTTTCCTTAATGACATTTTTCACCCAAAAAGTTTTAAAATACCACTTTTTCACCTAAAGTTTATATTCCGTTAATACCCAAAGCTGATTCTGATGACGAAAAGAATTTTCATCACCACCATTTGAACCTCCGGTTCCTTCACTACAAAATCTTTCTCATTCCAACACCTAATTTCTCGACAATCATTGTTGGTCACCGCAAAACTAGAGTTTTCTATTCTTAATTGATTTCCAACGGTAAATATTCAATCGGTCACTATCATTCGATTTATCAGTCTCCACTCTATAAAATCCCTCTTACCTTGGCTCATGGTAATTTGCTGAACGTAGGCTAAGAAAGTGAAGTGTATATTAAGTATTAACGGACTTTAAAAACTTTGGATAGAAAAGTGGTATTTTGAAGCTTTTTGGATGGGAAAGTGTCATGAAAGCAAACCTTGGGTGGGAAAAAGTCGTCTACTCTGTAATAAAAATCAAAACGAACAGTTGTGGTTTCAGGATTGGTGAAAGATTTGGGTTTGTGCCAAGTTTAAAAGTTAAAAGCTTATAATTGACGTATGGTTTTTTTTTTTTTCAGTTAATATACAATTTTAGAGAGACGTCCAATTTTTAGGAGTAATAATTTGTTCTCTACGAAATCTTTAATATAGTATTGCTATTTTCAAAGTTAATATAATGAATACCCCCAAAAAACATGTTCTCGTGTCTTTTTAAAATTATATTCAACAAATTTATGGATACAAAAAAAACTGAGAATTGAGATTGAAGCACTAAAATAGAATCTGGGAACCATTAGAGTTGGATGGCTGAGAATATAGAGGGTGATGATACAATGCAATGGCTGAGCTTGAAGAGAGGTCTGATAAAATAAACTGGACCACAACTGAGTGTACCTGCAGAAATTGGCTGGCATGGGCAATTCCATTAAAACCCTCAATAATCAATCATACAAGCTCAAGTTCCATCTAATTTACAGTCACAGAAGAAGACATAACATTTGATTATGATATGATACTGATATGATACTCGGGGCCCCAAATTTAGATGGTATCTCCGATTTCCGATTTTTCCTAAACATATCTCAGCTACATGACAATCTAATGGAGTTAGTGACCATTAACTTTGGCCCCATTATATAATGCTTTTCATACTGCCATTGCAGTATTTTCTTGGATGAGATGAAGCTGCAATGTTTTAGAAATTGTCAGCATAGCCCAGCTAAGCTTGCAAAGACATGATAGTAATTGAATGCATTTATGCCCTCTTCATTATTTTGGTTGGCCTTTCTTTTTCCAGAGAAAGAGATCCATCCATTCCTTTTAAAAAGTAAGTGAAATGCATTTATCACTGGGTTGAAATTTCTAGAGATGCATAATAAACTCAACTTTTACAAATACAAAGAACATAATCAATATTCTAAATTATTATCTACCATGTACTCTTAAAATGCAGCCTTAAAGAGAATCATTTTCACAAACGCATCAGAAAACATATTTGAAAAGACCTTTTTACTTTACTATTAAATAATTTTATCAAGCTTTTAACAATACTAAAAAGTATCCCCAGTCCAAATATATTAGGATGATCTTCCTACATTACATTATTAATTTACCGGATTCGGATGCTCTGAATTAGAGGCCACTTTGTTCTACAAATTTTTTTAAAAGAAATTGTGACAAATCCCCTTGTGTATATTCCTGGTATAACATTTTTGTTAACCTGACGTTACTGTATTTCTTATTTATTTGGTTACAAAACGCGGTATCTGAGTTTTGCACATGGGATCTAATAACTTCAGACCCGACCTAAACATTTTAAAACCGCAACAACTTCCTCTTCGTATCAAACCAACCACCCCCACACTTTCTTTAACGTTGAGGCTTTCAACAAAACCACCTCCTCAATATCTCTCACCTCACCCCTTAACTCATTATCAACCGCCAAGTCATCCGACGCAAACCCAATTGCGGTCTTACTTTGATCCTCTGCACTCAACCCAGTGCAGTTCTCATTGTCCCATTCTTGGATCGAGCGCTTCCGAAATCCTTGTCGAATAATGGCCCCATTTACGTGATCTAAAAAGTACCCAGACGGAGAGAGCTTGCCTCGGTGATCAGATATCGAACTTCTTGTTTGATCTGCTGCTTGAGGGTAGGGCTGAAAACGTCGTCGTCGATGTTAGAGTGGGCCAGTGGGGATGACGATAATAACGAAAGAGGCTTGTGCGCGGTAGCCCCACAGCTACAAGTGAACGTTTTTCAGCATTATTTCTGTTTGACATGAAGGAGTGTGGTTAATGAGGAAGTGTGAGAGTGTTTAGTTTAGGTTAAGTGAGTTTATGTATTAATACTCATGTTAATAAAACACCATGTTTAGCCATCGATGTCCAAGCCACAAGCGGTATTAATTTCGTTAATTAATGGTAATTAATAAAGTGAAAGGGGATTGCCAATTCAATTCAATCATACTGTCATCTTCAGCGGGTTGAAGGAGTAACATGTTTTTGAGTGCAAGTAGTGAAGCAGGTAGGGAGATCCTTATCAATGAGATTACATACGTAAATGGAGGATTGAGATGGAAGATCAAAGGGTCGTCAGCAGATCAAAACCGTAGATATATATAAACAATACAAAGTACAAATACAACGTGTATGCGCTAGCTGTGATGAATGGTGGTGGCAATTGTCCTGCTGAGCTGTAAGGGATTGAATGATGAATTTAAACCCAAAAACATGGCGAGTTGTATCCGGATGGCTTTTTCCTTCAGTATCACGAGCACCCTCTCTTTTCTTCTGTTACTGTACATACGTACGTACTTACTGCTTATTTTTGTGGCCTCAAATACAATTATTTTTATGACATTTTTGGGAGAACATGAACCCCACACAAACTGAAGTCCATGATATTCTGAACAACTATAAAATCTGAATATATTATATGATATTTAATCTAGAGTTTTTCATTTTAATTTATCTGGTTTATATATGTTCACATGCATGTATAATTGAGTATGACGAGGGAAGGCCTAAGTTACTGTCAGTTTGAAACCGACCAAGCTGTGAAGCTAAGGCTTCTCTCGCTGTCCAGGGTATGGACTGTCATTCTGAGAAAGACGTGTAAGAGTTAGGTCCACTAATACGATTGTTTTGGTCTTATGCATTTGCATTATTGGTTCACCATCACCAAGACTTGTTTCTCTTCTGTTAAATCAGGTTTCTACTTTCAGGTAAGCATATGTTAAATCAAACTTTAACCCTGCTTATACTTTAATTACTGTTATTGCCTTCACTTTCCTAAACATGACAATCGTAACGATATTAATCAAGGATACCGAGATAAAAGTAGCTTATTCATTTCACAATCACTCGTGCAACCAAATTAATGTGATATAGACATTTTACTTAATGGCAGAATCCACACACCGGCCTGTTATGACTCGTGAAGCAAGTTGATTTTTTTTTCTTTGCAGGACAAAAGCAAAGATAAAAGATTTGACTTTCATATTCTGTTGACAAGGACTTGGGTTTGTTTGTTTTAGCCATGAAAAAGAAATAAAGTGGACGATTTTCAATTTTGAGATGGTTGTGTTTCCACGATCAAATTAAAGAAATGGCAACTGGCCGGCTTTGACCTTTGCATTGGAAATGGAGAGGGACCCTGTTTACAAAATTCAAGCTTTCAGGCTGCAGAGCCCATACTGTAATGGTTATGGTTATGGTTATGGAGTTGAGTAATAGGAAGACATTATTCAGCAAAGAATACGTACAGTTTCTGCAGGTAAAATAAAAGTTTCAACCAGCTATGTATGTGGTGTTATAACTGTAAAGTATAGTATATTAATTATGAGAATTAGCTAAAAGTACTGTATTTCTCCATGATATCTGAATAAGAGAACAGGAAATAAAATTGAAAAAAAAGTAGTGGAATATAAGATATTGAAGGCAGCAGAATTTAGCTAGGTAGGCAATCAACCAACAGAGCCCTTACGCAGAGATTACGGAACATTGACTGGCAAAGGGCCACAAGCTACCGAAGGGCATGTGCATATGATTTTGGTGTCCGGGACCATTTTGATCCAGACGAAGATCCTATACCCACGCCATGATTTCCTTTACAAGGACTCACACTTGATAATCATAGTCTAACAAATCAGCCACTCAGCTCTTCACTTATTTTAGGGTCACCCCCTTGTGCCTTGTCATGCACTCTTTTTATAATCTATAAACAAACCCATTTAAAAAAAAAAAAANACGCAGAGATTACGGAACATTGACTGGCAAAGGGCCACAAGCTACCGAAGGGCATGTGCATATGATTTTGGTGTCCGGGACCATTTTGATCCAGACGAAGATCCTATACCCACGCCATGATTTCCTTTACAAGGACTCACACTTGATAATCATAGTCTAACAAATCAGCCACTCAGCTCTTCACTTATTTTAGGGTCACCCCCTTGTGCCTCGTCATGCACTCCTTTTATAATCTCTTAAAAAAAAAAAAAAAAAAAAAAGAAATCTTCTGAGCCATCCTTATGCCGTACGTGCAGCAATTTTTATCTGCTAATTAGTGGTCTTTCTCAACTCTTTCTAAGCTCTGAAACTAAAAGCCAGTCTTTCGCCAATTAGATAAGCTTCTTCAAAAGCCCTTCCAAGTAAAAATTGTTTGACAGAGTGTATCACAGAACCTAATTTGGATTGGGATTTCAACAATTATTTCCTACAAAATTTAGACCAGGGATTTAAATGGTTGGTAGAGAATTAATGATTGATTGCTCCAAGTCAAAAATTACGTACACATGGACATTGAAAGGAGAGTTGAACTGTGTTATACAAATTAATTAATAGCGGTGATATAAATAGAATTTGCTGTTATTAAAAAGCAAAGAGTAGGCAATAAGGTTTAGGACCATAATTATCTTTAGATAGTTTGACAGTTTATTTGAGACTCTTGAATAACAAGAGGTCCTAAAGTTAAATCTTTAAGATTATTAATAAAAGGTAATTACAAGAGGTTTATCTATCTATTAATTTTAGGATCCTAAAAAAATAGTCAAAATGCATACAAATTAGCATGAATACTCCCGAATACACAAAAAAAAAAAAAAAAAAAAATAGAAGGTGTAGGACGATTAAGTTAGAAATAATTTAGCATAAGTAGCTGTGTAAGAAATGAGCATTGCTTGTAGGGCCCGAGAACAGCTACGTTGAATGTACTAGGAGGGAATTTTTTACCTTAAATTGGGAAAGGTATTTTGTCACTGAGCAAATTGCAGATATAATCAGTCCTACAACTTACATAATCATGATACAACATTTACGTGTTCTTTTTCCCATTTCTTCTACTAACTGATTCCTTATTTTGCCACTCATTTCCTCTAACATAAAACGTTTTTTAGCCAAAGCTGTTAGCTCATACTTTGGTATTTATTATATATATGATTCCATCATATTTGTAAGTAGTGTCAACCACACAAGTCTCTGTCTTGAAGGACGCCATTCAAGACTAGTCTCTGGAATAAGACCATTCAACAACAGAGTCAAAAACGAGTTACTGTAGACACTGAAAATTGGAGTTTTTAAGTACTTTTTTCACTCATTTTTCTAAGAATCAACAAGCTGAGAAGACATATAGAGATAGCCTCTAAATTATGTGGTATATTTAGTATGCATTAATTCAAAATCTTAGCTTAAATGGGGTCGCGCAGGACCCATCATTTAATGCTTTCCCACATTCAACTATGCAAAATATATAGGTTGAAATTGAGGGCCCATCATCTACCACTAAAGGTTATTGTTGTGTACTATTCAACCCAGTTGCACAACGACCAAAGAAAAAGCTACAGTAAATTACCCACTTATAGTTATATGTCATTTCACTTATTTGCATTACCGAATTCCCAACTTATAGTAAATTAAAAGTAGAAGGTAAAGATGTATGTATATGTATAAATAGGAAAAGCATAATATAAGCCATGGAAAATATTTGTTTTCCTAATTATATATGTTGTCAGTTTGTTGAGGTATTTATATTAATGTTGTCAAACGGTGCGATGATTTACAGTGTACCACTGTCACTGTGTGTGTTGTTCTTGTTTGACAAGGATAAATTAAGACAATGAAAGGACTATGGCTATAGTGTTCGATTGTCTAGTACCAACTAGAGAAAGAAGAAACAAATAAAGATATGAAAATAGATGTGATATATAAATGGAAGTAGTGAAAAATATAAATACAATTTTCACTGAAACGACACCACTCCCACTGTAGTACAAGCTGCGGATTACAACCAATCAACATGAAACGATAACTGCTTTCCTTGTTTCCAATAGCTACTGTTTCCTCTCTTTTTTTCTCTCTCTCTCTCTTACACACAAAGCCAACTGGCAATTTTGGTTGGATCACATACAGATAAACTAAAGGGGCAAACGGATAGAGCAAATGACAAAACTAGTCTAGGATTTGAGTCTGATTCGTTTGGTTGTTTCTTGCTCTACTCCTTCTCTTCTATTTAAATAGACAAGACCTTGTATGAGAGAGTGTGTGTGCAATCTCATTTTTTTTTTTNTGAAGGACGATTAAGTTAGAAATAATTTAGCATAAGTAGCTGTGTAAGAAATGAGCATTGCTTGTAGGGCCCGAGAACAGCTACGTTGAATGTACTAGGAGGGAATTTTTTACCTTAAATTGGGAAAGGTATTTTGTCACTGAGCAAATTGCAGATATAATCAGTCCTACAACTTACATAATCATGATACAACATTTACGTGTTCTTTTTCCCATTTCTTCTACTAACTGATTCCTTATTTTGCCACTCATTTCCTCTAACATAAAACGTTTTTTAGCCAAAGCTGTTAGCTCATACTTTGGTATTTATTATATATATGATTCCATCATATTTGTAAGTAGTGTCAACCACACAAGTCTCTGTCTTGAAGGACGCCATTCAAGACTAGTCTCTGGAATAAGACCATTCAACAACAGAGTCAAAAACGAGTTACTGTAGACACTGAAAATTGGAGTTTTTAAGTACTTTTTTCACTCATTTTTCTAAGAATCAACAAGCTGAGAAGACATATAGAGATAGCCTCTAAATTATGTGGTATATTTAGTATGCATTAATTCAAAATCTTAGCTTAAATGGGGTCGCGCAGGACCCATCATTTAATGCTTTCCCACATTCAACTATGCAAAATATATAGGTTGAAATTGAGGGCCCATCATCTACCACTAAAGGTTATTGTTGTGTACTATTCAACCCAGTTGCACAACGACCAAAGAAAAAGCTACAGTAAATTACCCACTTATAGTTATATGTCATTTCACTTATTTGCATTACCGAATTCCCAACTTATAGTAAATTAAAAGTAGAAGGTAAAGATGTATGTATATGTATAAATAGGAAAAGCATAATATAAGCCATGGAAAATATTTGTTTTCCTAATTATATATGTTGTCAGTTTGTTGAGGTATTTATATTAATGTTGTCAAACGGTGCGATGATTTACAGTGTACCACTGTCACTGTGTGTGTTGTTCTTGTTTGACAAGGATAAATTAAGACAATGAAAGGACTATGGCTATAGTGTTCGATTGTCTAGTACCAACTAGAGAAAGAAGAAACAAATAAAGATATGAAAATAGATGTGATATATAAATGGAAGTAGTGAAAAATATAAATACAATTTTCACTGAAACGACACCACTCCCACTGTAGTACAAGCTGCGGATTACAACCAATCAACATGAAACGATAACTGCTTTCCTTGTTTCCAATAGCTACTGTTTCCTCTCTTTTTTTCTCTCTCTCTCTCTTACACACAAAGCCAACTGGCAATTTTGGTTGGATCACATACAGATAAACTAAAGGGGCAAACGGATAGAGCAAATGACAAAACTAGTCTAGGATTTGAGTCTGATTCGTTTGGTTGTTTCTTGCTCTACTCCTTCTCTTCTATTTAAATAGACAAGACCTTGTATGAGAGAGTGTGTGTGCAATCTCATTTTTTTTTTTTTTTTTTTTTTATCTACCATAGATTTAAGTAGCCTGTATAAAAATTCCTTCTTGTTTGTTTAAAGATAGTGGTGTGGTGAGAATATGAATCTATCATCTTCACAGTTTAGTAGTGGGTGTGAATCTGGTTGGACTTCGTACTTAGATCAATCCTTTCATTCAAAAAATGAATGTTATAGTTTTGGTGGGAATGTTGATGAAGAGTATGCGCAAACGGGAGCAAGAATCGACCATGACGAAGAAGAAGACTTATCCATGGTTTCTGATGCATCTTCGGGGCCTCGTCATTGTGGTAAAGATGAAGATTGCTTTGATGAAAATGGTTGTTTCTGTTCTCCCCCTTCAGCTTCTGAACTGGCCCGGAAGAACAAAAAGAAACACAAGATCAAACAACATGGTAAAAATCAACACCATTCACACCATGATGACACTGCTAGCTCCCCCTTTTCCAAGGCAAGTTCCAAAAAGTTACCAGTCATTTTATTAATGTATTCATTGTATTTTATACAAAATAAATTGTAATTAACGAAAGTGATTTTATGATATTTATATAGAAGAATATCACTGTCTCCAAGAATGAAGCTTCAATGGACCATATCTTGGATTTTTCACAAGGATTCTCAGCAACACATTTAAAGGTACAACTACAGCCTGCTTTCTTTGATTAATTAATATAGCTTGTAATCTTCTTATCATAAAGGGGTGGCACTTCACTTGCAGGGAAAATCAACATTCAAAAAGCATTTTGATTTCTTCAAGTCCTCTCTGGCTGAAAAACCAGCTTCAGGAAAAAGGGATTAGTTGCTTTTATACTGTACTTTTTAATTACAAGTAGTGATTCTTTCTCTCTCTCTCTCTCTCGGATCTTTTTTTTTTTTTTTTTTTTTGAAGTTCTGAAATAACAATGATTCCAGTCCCTAAAACTGTAGTGTAGATCTCTTGGCAGGCAGCTTTCAGGAAAGAAAGTGGGAAAAGGAGAAGGGCAATTATACATAATTGTTTTGTCTGACTGCTACAATTTCTCTGAGATAAGAGAATTTGGGAGGCATGTAAAAAGATAAAAGCCTTAGATCTCAAAGGGATCTTGTATCGTCCTTTTTATTTTTGTTTTTTTTATTTCAATTCTACTCCTTTTAATGTGTTCCTGAATCCTGTCAATACTGCGGGAAACAAGATGAAACATAAAATATAAATATATCTTTGGGTCTGAGTATATATGCCAATATTTTTTTCTTTTTGTTTGTCACTAGTAGTAGTCAGAGATGAAACTTGCTAGATCTTCTGTACAATTTAAAAAACCTGCCACGGTCTCTGCTCCATTGCTATAGAAATCAACTTCTAATGAAAGTGCTATCTTGCATAAATCAAATACATTAATTTTAATATATAAAGTTGATAAGAGAAAACACCCTTGACCCAACCGCACACACAGAAATGGAAACGAGAAAAAAGAGGCACCATTCCAAAACCAAAATGCAGAAAGGAGGAGAAGAAATGGCCAACTATTTTTTTCCACATCCGTAATTGCCAGGCTAGTTTAAAACTAGGTAGGGTTGGTAAATTTGGTAGTCCATGGGCATGTAGACTTAAAACAGACAATTTTTCACATGGATGGAACCAAAAGGTAAGCTTCATTTTCCACCAAATCGGACCAAAAGCTGCACCCCACCACCCTTTGATAGCTACCTACAAAGAATGTGATCCATACATGCTACTGGTGCAATTATTAATTTTGTTTTCTTCACAATCTTTTATTGAATGCCTTCCCATCCTCAAAATTAGCACCCATATCTTCGAAAAGGACTTAGATTTTAGGAAAACGACAATACCTTCATCTCTGTCCTACTTCTTCCCTCTGCTTTTTTTATAATTTAACTTAACGCAGTCTATTATTTTTTAAAGCTAAATGTCCAAGTACTGGATGATTACCCAATTATTAAACCGAATCAAAGTATATGTTCCAATCAAAGATCGATAATATGGTCATTCCATTTCTCTTGACCAATAAAAAAGACTGTAAAAAATCGCCACTTAAAAACGGTTTGAAAATTGCGCATGTGGATCACGTCTTCTGTGAAAGCAAACAGATGACAACTGGAGGGGCTGATAATTTTCCACGGTCCACCCAATGAAATTGAAATTGGTTCATACTTGGAAACTTAACTCGTCTTGTTATACATCACGAACATCAATTTTACTGAAAGCAAAGTCCCATTCCATTAATTAAGAATTCATTCATAGAGATCCAGGATCCTTACCCATTGCATATATATAGAGAGAGAGAGAGAGAGACAACGAGAATCTCTTTCAACATAAATGGCACATGAAAGACTAGCAAATAGACGTACCGACAATTTTACTCTAATTTCACGAATACAAAAAGATGGAGTACAACTCTCTCTTCATATGAAACTGATCTATTGAACATTTAACTGAGAACTAGTAAGAAATAATTGATTTTAATATTGAGTTATTGAATTCACAAACACCTAGAACATAAGAATTTAAACTAGATTTAAAGAATATAAAGACAAAAATGCTACTTTCACAGGTTAACAAAATTTTTCTTGAGGAACACAATACACGACATGCTGCAGAAAACCCTGCTCAGCCACCCTTGCACTCAGTTTTTCTCTTTTCTTTTTGTTCTTTATATCTGTTTTCCTCTCTCCTCCTATCCAACTTTAACATCGAGGATGGAAGTGTGCCGTCAAACATGAGTAATCAATTGCCAAGTTTGAACTCCCCCTGGCAGTAAACAATTATGTCCCAAAAATATGTCTGTGAACAGGGGCATCAAAAGTCTTGACCACTTCCATCCACGGTTTGTCAAGGATCAATACGGAACTTTTTGAAAGGTGATCAATAAAAAAAACAGGATCTCTGAAAGCCAAAAATTCAAAGTTCTTTCTACCGTTGAGTTTAGCCTCTGTTTGACAGTCTCTCAACTTGCGTTTAAGTCTTCCACTAATGGGAGTACTAGCTAACTTTCTCAAAGCAGACCCCTGACAATTTACCAGGCTATTGTCATCATCTTGATTCTCTGGCATCCCAAAGTCGATCAAGCACATTGCCCTGCACCTCAAACAACCATTCAAAATATTAGAGAACCGTAAAAACAAAGAGCCCCAAAATGTGGAAAATTGGCTAAATATTATATACACCCCACTGCCCTCTTAGCCTGTCAGCATACCCTTGCATTTTGCATGGAGATGACTAAGTCCAGGGTTCAAAACCAATACAACACTGGATAGTCCAAAGGGGTGAAGCAACGACCAACAAAGAAATTAAATATCATGCAGAAAGCAAACTTAATCCAGGGCATGCCCTTCTAAATGATAAATCTCAAATCCATAACAACCGCTGAGAGAAATGACCAAGTGAATCCGACAACTCAAATCCAGATTCCAAATTTCTTCTGCTACACCCAGCTTTGCATATCGACAAATAAATAAACCAAATAAAATTTAACTACCTAAATAAAGCAGACCATTCCTTAAGACAACATGCATTAATTTCCAAAACATCTTTCTAACCTCACTAAAACGGAGAAAGAGAGAGTAGCACCTGGCACTGTAAATGATAACAGAGGATGAACTTGGAGAGGGTGAGAAAGAGAGCCCAATAACCTCCCCAGGGCATTCTCGATATCTCTTAGGCAGAACAAATGTACGTCGCATTGACCATTCTCCTAACTGCTTAAACTCCACATCAAATGCATAAACTTGGTTCGAAGAGGTTACAATTATAAGCAAATTGTCAGTCCGAGGAGAAAAACCACCAGCAGCAACAGAAGCACCATCCAATCTTGAGATGAACCAGTGTTGCCTGTTCCACCAAACCAAAACAAATTAAATCCAAGAGAAATAAAAATAAAAATTTAAACAAGCTACACATGATGCACAACCGGATTAAGAAATTCATTAATGGCTTCGAACAGACATAAATGAAGTAAGAATTTCTCAGCCCCCGTCCACAGTGCTCCCTCACACAAGCACATATATTCTCAGTAGTAAAACTTAGGTAAAGAAAAATATCAATCATGTCCAACAACATATATAACATAACATTAATAACCAAATACTATTTCAAAAGTTTTCACTTTATTAAAGAGGTCATCCATGCCGGTTATCAACTGTGAACTATCAAACGAAGTGACCAAACATTTAGTTGTAACTTTCATGGTTACAAGTATATGTTAATATAAATTTTTTTAATCAGAAACATTTAATTGCGACTTTTGTTCATGTTCCAGAATAAACATAAAAATATGTTTCATAATTAAGTTAGTATATACAAAGATCATCACTTCATGTGTATCATTCTAGTTGGCTGCTAGTTAAGACTACTAAAAATGGTATGCCAAAATCACTATAAAAAAATAAAGGAACACAAGGTGAGTAAAGAGACTCTTGAAGAAACCTCTGAATCTTGAGATTGAATATATACACATCCCCAAAACAGTTGACGGCAGCCAGCCATTGCCCATCATAACTAGAAAACATCTTTGTTATAGAAGGCTCTTTTGGTGGTAATTTATCATCATTCTTCTCACGGCAGGGTGTGAAAGTGTGTACTAGCTCTGAACTTCCCACATCCACAACCTGTAGCACCAAAAAGAGGAATAAATAAAACACCCAGATTGTTACAGTGTCTAATTAGGCCTAGGATTTGCTCAAGTTAAAACTGTGAAGTGTTCAACCATAATTAAATGGTAAATTTTCATTCCATAAGTCAAACTGTAAAATCATTAAAAGTTGCCACCACCCAGGACTTGAAAGAGGAAAAAGATCAACACAATTAAGCCTCTTCCACCCTTCTTGAACAAGGCCAAAATCCCACAATACATAGGTACAAAATCTAAATTCAAACCAAGATTATAAATTTAGACAATTGGGTGGTCAAACAGTCTAATCAAGTGAAATCATTTCTTTCCGTATTTATCTCCTTGGTGATTGTCCACCGATACAACTTAATCATATTCGTCCACATACCAAAACATACTTTATTATTTTTTAAAGAATAAACATTAAGTAGCCAGTCTAACAAACAATTTTAATATGTAAAACAAAGAGGAATATCTGCCAACTTATTAACCAATGGAATTTGGAACATACTTGAATGCAAAAAAGGCAAACTTACGTATATCTTTCTATCATGCCCTGCAAGTATCAACCAAGAACAATCAGAAGTAAAAACCATGGAACGTGCAAACGGTAGTTTACGAGGAAGTTGCCTTTTATTGATAGACCATGCACTTTTGCCAACTTCAGGGCTCTTCAATTCAAACAGGTTCGGTTTAACATGATCAGAATATGCAAAAAGCAACCCTGAATTAGAAATGGTGCTGCATATAATCTTCTGGGATGCCTTACTCTTAACCCGGGCCAATAAATCTGTGGTTGCATGGCCACCAGATGTGCCAGAATTCATATTGCTCTTTAGACGAACAGATAGAATATCAATCCAATAAGAAGACTGGACTAGGAGCAAAGAAGTGTGATCAAATATTGTATTATGCACCAGTTGAACCGGTACTCTCTGAGGAGCAGGGCAGATATCGTGTGGAGAGTACTTGGTAAACTCCTTGGCAGAGTAGGCAAAGAGCTTGGTGTCATCACCAGCTGAGATAAGCATGGGAACTCCTGAATGAGCCCATTTATGGTAACTAAAATCAACGGGTTTCTCCCGACTACGACTTCTTTTTATCTTTTCATCCGGCAAAGGATCTACAATTTAAAAAAAAAAAAAAAAAAAGAAGCAAAAATCAGTCATGAAGAAACAGGTTAAATACATGTCAAACAGAAATAAACAAATAAATGAACTTATGCATATATAATTTATGAGTTATATAAACAAGATGCAGCTAAAACAATGTTACTGGAGCTAAAAGAACAGGTAAGCAAAACCATAAATTGAATTTTAAAAACCTGACACACCTTCATTGCTAATTGGCACTACCATTGTCAAGGCCCTCACATCATGTGTATGAGCTCTTACATGACCAACGTACACCCATTTCTTCATCACTTCCGATGAAGACTTGTCATCAATTGACCCAATTGCCTCACTTGAAACCTTATAAAGAATAACCTGCGAACAAAAGTGAATTCACCTAGTTTAGATAGCACCAAATAAAACAGACCAAAAACAACCCCAGCCAATTTAGCTGAAAAAAAAGAGGTTCCACCAATTTTTTTTTTTTTTTTTTTAATAT